GAATAGAATAATAGTTACTCATAATTTGTACTCTGATTACGTAACTCTGGTACATGTAATCCATTACTCCCCAACACTGCCTGAGACACACAAAAAGTAAAATATACCAAAAATAAAACTACGCAATCTATACACACACGGTTCTAAAAAAGTACAATGGCATTAAGTATCGCCATCCCATTCCCGCCCTACTCCCTCTGTGCCCTTAATCAGATATAATTTCATTTTTAGTGCGCTTACTTTACAGTTAGAGCCGTTTCAGTGTTCATTACAGCCCCAATCAAATAAACCCAAATCTCCCACAGCTATTTTTTGTAGTCTTTTTGTTCCAGCGCCAATCCTGGGCCCGCACCGGCTCCAGCGCGCCATTCTACGAGGAGCCCCGAAGTGTTGATGAATGTGAAAAAAAGCACAGACGATACAGTGGCGCACTCCCGACCAGAGGAGGCGCCGCGGGGCCCTCCCTTCGGCTGTCACCTGCTGTTCCTCCACTGATTGCGGTAAAGGCGGCGTGATCCGGGCTCCGAAGAGAACAGAGAGGGAGCTGCTTTTGGCTCCGTATGAGAGAAAGCTTTGAGGATTTGGGCTCTTTATGAGGTGGATGTGTACAAAAGGCGGCGTTTTGTGGAGTTTGTCAGCGTCGCAGCGTGCGGCTCAGGAGATACGTGGAAAAAGCCGCGCGTTCAATTAAAGGAACACTGTGGGATTCGGGGAGGTATATTTTTGCGCTCTTCGGAAGTGCATAATGGAAGATATAAAATTTAAGCCGGTTCGTTTGTTGTGGGGAACTCAGGAGGGAAAATGCAATCAGAGTTTTCAGTTTACTGCGCAGGTACACAGACGGATTGTCAAAATAAACAGAATCGACACCCAGATCACTACTACAGTATAATAATAATATAAATATGGAGGATTTGCGTGTGAAGTGGCGGTCACGCGGTTTAATGTTTTGGCGGTGAAGACTGGGGTTGTTTACAGTTTACAATATGATCACGGCGACTTTAAACAGCGCAGACAGTGTTGGGGAGTAACAGATTACATGTATCAAAGTTACGTAATCAGAGTACAAATTATGAGGAACTGTATTCGGTTACAGTTACAGTTTCAGTGAGTGGTAATTGGATTACAGTTACTTTGTTGAAATAAATGGATTACAGGGTGGTAATTTTCTGTTTTAAACAACTAAACTAGGAACTAAAACTAAACTAAACTAGGACTAAAACTAGGAACTAAACTAGGACTAAAACCAGAACTAAACTAGGACTAAACTAGTACTAAACCAGGATTAAACTAGGACTAAACTAGGACTAAACTGGAACTAAACTAGGACTAAACTAGTACTAAACCAGGATTAAACCAGGGCTAAACTAGGACTAAACCAGGACTAAAACTAGAACTAAACTAGGACTAAAACCAGAACTAAACCAGAACTAAACTAGGACTAAACCAGGACTAAACCAGGACTAAACTAGAACTAAACTAGGACTAAACCAGGACTAAAACCAGAACTAAACTAGAACTAAACTAAACCAGGACTAAAACCAGAACTAAACTAGGACTAAAACCAGAACTAAACCAGAACTAAACTAGGACTAAACCAGGACTAAAACCAGAACTAAACCAAAACTAAACTAGGACTAAACTAGTACTAAACCAGGACTAAAACCAGGGCTAAACTAGAACTAAACTAGGACTAAACTGGAACTAAATTAGGACTAAACTAAATTAGGACTAAACCAGGACTAAAACCAAAACCAAACTAGGACTAAACTAAAACTAAATTAGGACTAAACTGGAACTAAACTAGGACTAAACCAGGACTAAAACCAGGACTAAACTAGAACTAAACTAGGACTAAACTAGAACTAAACCAGGACTAAAACCAGAACTAAACTAAAAAGCATGACAATATCAAGTAATCCAAAGTATTCCGATTACGTTACTCACTTTAAGTAATTTAATGGATTATGTTACAAACTACATTTTGGTGTGTGTAATCTGTAATCTGTAGGGGATTACATTTTAAAAGTCACCTTCCCAACACTGAGCGCAAACGACATAAAACTGACCGAAATCGCCAGCTCGTTAGATCAGCCGTCATTAGAAAGGTATAAACTGGTGATGGGCGAATGGAGCCTCATGAAGCATTGACACCTCAGTCGAAATATTGTATCAAATGGTTGGACGTGTCTGAGGCCTCGGAGAAACACTGACCTCTAGTGGACAAATTTAACCACTGGCACGCAGGTGTCTCAGCATCGATGAAGTACTGTTAGTGTAAGACAATATGTACCTAACAACAACAATAATAATGATGATTTAAAATAATATGTAAAGAGCAACATAAATAGCAGCTGTAAATAAGAAAATAGGTTAATCAAAGTGATCCCAAACCATGGATCGCTTTTTCTCCACACAATTGTAGATGCCATCGGAAATTAAACAAATACTAGGTCTGAACCAGGACTAAACTAGTACTAAACCAGGACTAAAACCAGAACTAAACTAGGACTAAACTAGAACTAAACCAGGACCAAAACCAGAACTAAACTAGGACTAAACTAGAACTAAACCAGGACTAAAACCAGAACTAAACTAGGACTAAACTAGAACTAAACCAGGACCAAAACCAGAACTAAACTAGGACTAAACTAGTACTAAACCAGGACTAAAACCAGAACTAAACTAGGACTAAACTAGAACTAAACCAGGACCAAAACCAGAACTAAACTAGGACTAAACTAGTACTAAACCAGGACTAAAACCAGGGCTAAACTAGAACTAAACTAGGACTAAACTGGAACTAAACTAGGACTAAACCAGAACTAAACCAGGACTAAAGTAGTACTAAACTAGTACTAAACCAGGACTAAAACCAGGGCTAAACTAGAACTAAACTAGGACTAAACTGGAACTAAAACCAGAACTAAACAAGGACTAAACTAGGACTAAAACCAGAACTAAACCAAAACTAAACTAGGACTAAACTAAAAATCAATTAGGACTAGGAACTAAAAACTAGGGAACTAAACTAAAACCAGGACTAAACCAGGACTAAAACCAGAACTAAACTAAAAAGCATGACAATATCAAGTAATCCAAAGTATTCCGATTACGTTACTCACTTCACTTTCACTTTGTAGATGCCATCGAAAATTAAACAAATACCAAAAGTCGCCAAAATCACCACTAACGTCACACGACACTCCTCACTACCCAACATGTTTAAGAAATATTGGTGCATCTTTTATACTGTAGCAGTTTAGCGCTGGTCAAACCACAGAAGTGCGCTGAACACTCTGAAGCTCTGAACCAATCACAGAGCAGAACATTCGCTGAGCCAATGAAACGCTTCGATACACTGAAGCGACTGACACATAGAGCGAAGCAGCAGGGGGAGGGACCGACACTTCCACACTTTGGTCACGTGAGCGGCTGCTGCGAGACGAGCTCCGAGGCAGAGCTCCGGAGCAATTTGTTTCAGAAGGAACGAGACGAGCTCCGGAGCTCCGTCTCATTTGCCCGTCACTAGTATAAAGCTAAAGTCGTCCTCCTGGGTTATGGAATAAGATCCTGATCTAATTCCGACGGACCACTTTGTTAGTTTAATCAACGCTCGCTCTGTGCCCAACCTCCAGTGTCTGTTTTTTCATGTTAGATCTTCTTTCATAGGAAATAATTGAATGTTTTGCTTTGTCTTTCACTGGCGATGGGAAGTACGTGAATAATGATGGGACGTAATCTGGTGAAAGTGAATCCGTGTATCATTCGTTCATTCGTTTTTCAATATAAAACCAAAAATAAGGAAAAACAACAGTTTTCTTCATTATTTGTCTTCAAAACCGAAATGAAAAAAACAGATAACGATTTTTAGTTTTTTCAGTTTTTGATTTTGTGTTTAAATGAAAAATGGACATATGACTCCCGATGTCAGGACTGATCCAGGTCCGGGACCAGACTGGAACCAGACCGGGACTGAGACCGGGACCAGACTGGAGACATGAAAAATTATTTGTTTAAACACAAAATCGAAAACTGAAAAAACAAATTTTTTCATTTTGGTTTTGGAGACAAATAATGAAGAAAACGAGTTGTTTTTCATTTTCTTATTTTTGGTTTTATATTGAAAAACGAATGAACGAATGATACACGGATTAAAGTGGGTTATCATTCTCCATACCTATGAGAAAAAAATATTTATATATATATCTATATCATTTAATTTACCCTTCTTTGGAATGGAAGCAGTTTTTAGGAGTTTTGGTAATATTACTTCAGTTTGGCGATTCAGAGGAAGCAGCAATGTCATCGTAGCTGTTGTGGCGTAAGAGGAAAGTTGTGGCAAAGGGGCGAGGAAAGGCAGGGGACGAGGCGGCAGAAATCGTGTCGAGAAGGTCGGCAAAGTAGTCGCAATAATGGTGACGCGTCCTCCGAGGCGTGCCTTAAAAAACTAAATTATAATCATACTGGTTAAAAGATCTTGAGTACCACATTTTCCCACTTTTTCTGAGCAAGATTTTGTGAGGAAGTTATTAATCTCCTGACCCAAACTGCCTCCTGGTCTCAAATAAATGCCCGGTCTGTTAAGTGATTGAAACAAATAAACTCCCCGGCTATTATTTGTTATTTTACGGTACAAGGTACAAGTTACATCAGAAATAGTATAAAACCACATTTTTAGGATTTTCAGTGGGATCAAAATCAGTATCAAATATAACTGAGTTTACCACTTTATTCTTTTCATTTTTAAATTGCTATTACCGAATTTGTGTTCTTCTTTACGAAACACTACATTCACAGAAAACATGTCTATGGTATGCAATGTTCCAGCTGTAATATGAAGCACCAAACCCGCGTACAACACTGTCTTACTTCACTGTCTTACTTTTCTATCAGAGTGCAATATGAAAGGTACAACTCCTTCAGAAAATTGCCTTCTCAGTGGCTGCTATTACCTGGAGGACTAATACCAGGTCGTGTGTGTGTGTGTTCTTTTGCAGTGTCCTCTGGTCTGTGAATCCGCCTCCCATGTTTGTCTGGACAGAGAGACCAACCCACTGTCAGGACCCGGTAAGAGCACAAAACCTTTATTCCACTGTACAGTATTTGGGGCAATTTGAAATAATGACTTTGGCTGATATAGTTCTTTTAGTTTAAGCGGTGCCCCTTGAGTTATAGACTTATTACGCATCCAGCATAAACATTACCGTGTGACTTCTGGGACCGTAAAAGAAATGGTGAAAAAATAATGCTAGTTTGAATTTCAAGATTTGGGAGATTTTTATTATTTTCTGAAAGGTACAAGTAAAAAAAAAAACATGACATACCACTGTTTTATCCAGCCAATTTGCCAATGTTAACAAATGTAAAACTCCAAAGGGAACTACAAGAACTATCTTGACATTTAACAACGTTTTACATCTCTGCAAAGAAGAGCAACATATAATCAGAATCGTCTCATTACATTTACATTTATGCGTAGAAATCCGTGAATCATTTGTTCATTTGTTTTTCAGTATAAAACCAAAAATAAGAAAACAAAAAAAAAACAACTATTTTCTTCTTTATTTGTGTCCAAAACTAAAATTAAAAAACGGATAAGGATTTGTTTTTTCATTTTTCGATTTTGTATGTAAATGAATAATGGAAAAAATGGATAACAGTCGTTTCTGTGACTTAAACTGCGATGCCGGACTGAACCAGGACTGAAGCAGGTCTAAACCAGCTCTAAACCAGGTCTAAACCAGTCTTAGTCCTAGTCTCAGTCCCGGTCCTGGTCCGGTCCCAGTCTAAGTCTTAAACCAGGACTAAACCAGAACTGAACCAGGACTAAAACAGGATTGAACCAGGAGTGTCGAGACTGGCCCGGACATGTGCCCACGTAAACTGTCGTGTGATCAGGAGACCGGGACTCAGACTGGGACCAGACCAGCATTGAGACCAGCATTGAGACCGGGACTGAGACCGGGATTGAGACCAGGACTAAGACCGGGACTGAGACCAGGACTGAGACCTGGTTTAGTCCTGGTTCAGTTCTGGTTTAGAGCTGATTTAGACCTGTTCAGTCCTGTTTCAGTCCTGTTTAGTCCTGTTTTAGTCCTGGTTCAGTCCTGTTTCAGTCCTGTTTTAGTCCTGTTTTAGTCCTGGTTCAGCCCTGGTTCAGGCATCGCAGTTTAAGTCATTAAAATGGGAATTTTCATTTTTGGAGACAAATAATGAAGAAAATACTTGTTTTTTTGTTTTCTTATTTTTGGTTTTATATTGAAAAACGAATGCATGAATGATACACGGATTCATAGAATTATTTACATGTGTGATTAGAGTTCAGGGTAATATGAAGTAGTGTTGTTCTGATACCATTTTTTGGGGGGGATCTGATCCATTTCGATACTTAGCCTTGGTGTACTCGCCGATACCAGTGCACAAGAGCAAAAAAATAAATCTTCTAAAAGGCTTTTTTAAATGAAAAGCTGCAAGAATAATTTCAATTTTCAGGAATAACATATCAGTGAAATTTTATTTATTTTATTTATTCAAGATTTTACCAGGTAAGTCAATTGAGAACACCTTCTCATTTACAAGGACGATCTGGCCAAGAGGCAGATTAAAATAGAACAAACAGAACACACTCACACATCAACCATAACATGAAACAGTGAAAGAATTGCAGAGTAAAGATATCAAAGTGTGAAAAACATGTGCAGTTATCCTGTAAAATACTCTGGATGGAGTTTTTAAAAGTCGACAGAGGTAAAAACGAACAAAGTTTTAAAGTCTGTTGAAGGTGGTTTCAGTCACTTGCTGCAGAAAACTGAAATTTGGAGCGACCCAAAGCTGCGCGGGCTTTTAGAAACGACCAGGCCCGGTGTCGCACTCTTTTGTTCTGTTTGGCCAGGCTCATCAGGTCCACCTTTTTATTCTTACTTTTTCTTAAGGGTTTCTTTTGGAGTTTCAAGACATCTACCACTAAAAGAAAGAAAAAAAACAAAAAACTCTAATCTTTAATTTGGTTTCCGTGTCCTTTTTAAATACGTTGGGACTCATCTTTTTGGGTCGTAACAATCATGTATCGGTTGTATTGCCGTAGTGTTTTTCTACTTCGTCGATCCATGCACAGAGCACATAAAAACAACACTGAGGCCTGTATAAAGATACTTATCCTCTGAGCACATGGCTAATTATGCAGAGTAAACAAAGTCTGAGTTAGCCCTGTTGTTGTTGTTGTTGTTGCCGCTGTTGTCGGGCTGCACTCTCCATAGATTGAATTATTTTACCAAGTTCAGCGTCCACACCAAAGGCTAAATGAAGTCGTCAGAGGGAACACAAATGTCTTTTCTTTTGTTATTGCCTGTTTTTAGCGAGCGCAGAGCATCTACAGTAGTCAACAGTCAACAGTAGGGTGTCCAGTTTGGGTTTATCAAAAAGGAGGAGACCAGGTTTGGCGAAAAAGTAGGCAATTTTTGTACTTTGTAACCACCGATTTCTGTTGATGTTTGAATTTAATATTACAAACGTGTGATATTATGTGTATCAGGAGGTTTGGGGTCCTCGCCAGGAGAATTTTGAACAATTTACTGTATTTCTTTGCAGCCAGTGTGACCTATATTTATTTTTTCATGGGTTATTTTCCTGACAGTGTCTATGCCCCCTGTCCCTGCTCTAATATACCAGTGCTCCTGTCACCTCTCACAGACAGGAGGCTTCTGTTTGTGATTCAGAGCAGGACAAACACTACAGAGTTTAGCCTTTATCTGGACATCTGAAGAGAACAGACTATTCCCGTGTACGTGCATCTGAGTTCGCGACGTTACAGACTTTTCCAGCAGGGATTTATGAACGTATCTCCGCCAGTATGAGGTACATTTACATCAAATAAAAAGTGGTGTACAGTTTGAGAGATGAAGAACTGCATCATGATCATTCAACCTCTCCACAATGGCTAATATGTCGGAGCATTTTCTGATCAAAGGAGTAGTCTGTCCCCTCGCTGTGTGATCGTACAGGAGCGAGGAGAGGAAAGGCGGAGTTTAGACATTGGAGAAGCACACATGATTGTGTCCATGGAAGTATCATAAGATCTTAATGTATATCCATGATTTTATCTGAGCAGGTGAGCAAATATTGTCACCAAAACTAAAATAAGTGTCCCACACAAACTCGTCAATTGATAGTCAAGATCTTGGACATTTTGGGATAATTTAGAAATTCCTCACACACGTTTTTCGGAGTCCCAAAAGGAGGACGTGTCCAGAAAACAGAGGACTTGTGGTCACCCTAGAGAACAGCAGCTGCTTGCAGAATGATGAAGTTTTTGGCCATGGCAATACAGCGATCTTCCAAATATTAATTAACTCACTAACCTCGATTTCCATCATTGACTAGACTCCGAGCCTCCAGAGCCTGAAAATTGTCTTGCACTGTCGTCCGCTATGGTGGTGGCTTTCTTCCAGTTTCCGCCTACTTCAGCGCTAAACAGTGATGTTTGTCACTTGTTGATGACGTGTAGGTGGGATGAATGTGACCTGACCGTTCAGACTGAAGTCTCATGTCAAAAGATCAGATACGTATCAGTTTTAGGAGCACATATCTAAAACCACGTTCAGACTGCAGGGCTTAATGCTCAATTTGGATTTTTTTTTTTCAAGTTCATTCACATTTCCAATTAAATGTAGGTGTGTAAGTTTCAGAGTAGGTTAAGTGTAGTTAGCTCCTCCCTTCAGGCAGATATAAGGAAGAGTCCACCAACATTTTGACCTGAACTGAAGAAGCAGCTTGGATGAGCTGCGAAATGTATTCGCCCAAATAAACTTTTGTCCAGTTGAGAAATTGAATTGCTTCTTTTGCCACAGAGTCTACATGGACGACTGAGAAATTTTGGAAAGACAAGCCGAGCGTTTAGGCGACTTCCATAAACACAGAGCACACTCGCAGTGTGTGACGTCGTCGTGTCCTCCAGTGCGCATGCGGGACACTTTTGGGCCATTTAAAGTTCCCACTGGAGATCACAAACAAGTCGCATTTAATTGGAAATGTGAACGACCTCGCAAAAAATCTGAATTGAGCATTAAGCCCTCTAGTCTGAACGTAGCCTAAGTGGCCTTGGTCGTATTTGAAAATAATCTGATCTGTGTCGTTCAGACTGTCATTAAAAGATCAGATACAGGTCACATAACGGTGAAAAAATCAGATGCGGGTCACTTCAGGCTGCAGTCTTGACGTTACCTTTGAGTACTATTCATGTTTCTTCCGACAGCACAACCTGATCAAAACTATTTCCCATAATCCACGGAGCGTTTACATTTCACGTATGTACAGTCTCTTTGATCCAGACCCCCCACTCCCCCTCCTCCTCCTCCTCCATGCTGCCGCTGCCATGTCCCTGTCACTTACCGTCAGCGCCGCAATTATCCTCCAAAGCGGGGGCCATGTTTGGAGGGGCACATCTGCGCTCTGTCACAAACTACACCGTCCCAGAGGAGACGCACAGATTTCCTAATGCAATTTTAGGCTTCCATTCTTATTGCCTTTTCAAAATGAGAACGCACAGAAGCAACGAGATAGAAAAGAGATAGGCCCGGCCCACGCATCGCCGCCCCATCTCCACAAAGTCATTTTCTTAAGAGGTGTCAGGGGCAGGGCCAGCGGAGGCGTCTGATTGGTGGAAGGATTAGTAGAGCTACGGGGGGTATGTCAGAGGTTAATCCGCTTGTCTGGCGGAGGTGGAAGTGGGCATCTCTTTCATTCAGGTACAGCCCTTGAGTCCTATTTGTTTTTGTCATCCAGTGCACTCATCCTAATATCCACGCCGGCCCGTCTTTAAAGCTGCACTGTGTAACTTTTTGTTAAGGGGTGTGTCACCTGTTTGTTAAAATGGAGATGTCACTGCTCTGTCTTGAATGTTCCACAGTATGACTCTACTTTACATTTATTACATTACAGGTGGTTTTATTGCTCAAAAATATACATAGATAAACAGGCATTCTGACTGTGAGCGGGGTCGCCTCTCCACAGATCTGACCTGTAAAATCTGTGTATTGTTCATTCATCTGTTTTTCAATATAAAACCAAAA